AATAGGTGGCAGTAAATAGCAGTATACGTGCACACTAACAAAAATAACTGCAAATGGCCTGACTTTTTAGTCACAACAATATGTTTGAAGATAGCGAGGTGCATTTCTTCCCATGAGAAAATCCTAACACCATGATTATCAATTCCCTGACTTTGGTAATCTCATAGTTTCCTGATGGGAAAAGATGTGGAACAGCTGAAGCAGACTTATGGTGGTGGACATTTCAGCCAAAGCTCCAGCAAGCACAGTTCTTCCTTAAAATTTAATGGATTCATCACTGTTTGCTAGGATTCCAAACCATCATTGGAATCTGTTGCAAGGATGCAATGAATATTCCAGCAGGAATACTCAAATAATGCAACACCGCTCCCCCATATCTCTATCTGACAGCAGTTAATGCACGCTGGCTATGCCCACTTCAGTCCCCCAATGTCTGTTGCTCCAAACTCCAGAAACTTGGATGGAAGGGAGGTGGTTGCAATTAGGCTTCCAAGACCCTTCCAAAGCATCTTCTCTCATTAGTGACAGAAAATACAAGTTCCAACGTTCTTAGCAGGGAAATCTGAATCAACCCAAATCCATTCCAAGCTGCATGGATAATTCCAGTTCCATAAAGCTATCAAGCAAGATGGTGTTTAAAAAAACAACAACAAAAAATCCCACAATCAACTATACTAATCTGTTATGTGTCTTTCTATGGTAGTGTTATTTGTTACATAACTCATGCAACTAACCCCATATAGTCCATATAGTCAAGACAAGTCCCACTTATTTACATTTTTCTCCTAGGTCACTTGACTTCATTACAATCCTTATTATGCGACTTCCTATGAGATGCACCACTTTATAGCAATGAAGCTGTAACTTTCTTAGAAATATGCTGATTTTTTACATAATTTTCTAAAGATACACTAAGGTACAAATTCCCCTACTGAAAAATGATTGGTGCTTAATAGATCATAGTATTTAGATCTATAAGGTATCAATGTTGATTTCATTCTTCTAATCCAAGCACGGTCCATGTGGATTTAGCTGTGATATAGCTGTAAAAATGAGGATAATAACAGGAGTGGCTCTTTTATTCAAACACACGAACATGGTTGAACACACAGAGATTCACATCTAGACAAAGCACCAAAGCCTTATACAAGGATAGAGAACTTAGGCTGTTTTTTATTTTTTCCCCATTTTTTTTTCCTTTTACAAATACCGGAAGATAGTAGGGATTCAACTTCACTCCATTTGCATATAAATCATGTGTGCTAGCATTGAGTACAGCTTCTTCCAGTTTATTTTAGGGATTGTGTTTAAGGAACGTGCCAAAAGACTACACACCCTACACATATATTTTACAGATAACAAAAAACAGTTGGTGTCGGCCTGCTTCATTGCCAGAAACAACAGGTTATATAACTAATTTTTTTTTTAAAAGGAGTCAATTAGAGAAAGGCTTGTTCAGTTAGCAGAGATGGATGAACTTTCTAGTACGTCTTAGTTGGAATTGGCATTACAGATGGTCTCAACCCCAGGAGATAGTTTAGCGACATCTTCTACTACTGACATGTTTGAAATCCATACTGTCTACAGATTTAGCCATCTGTAGGCAAGCAAAAGGTGGGTATCATGACAAAACGTCCACAGAGAAAGAATCTTAGAACTGTTGCTAATGTGTGGCAAAACTGCAATGCTGCTACAAGATCTTTGGGTGCATATTAAGTTATATTTTTGGAAAGGTGTCTTCCATCAATTAAAATGGTTTGTTTGCATCAATGATATATATATGTTAATGTGAATTCTTTCTTCTTCAATTTCTTCTTGTTCCCAGTTAACCTTCAGTTGCTACCGTGCCAGTGCAAATGTGTTACTTAAGCTGCAGTCCTCTAATCCTTAGGATAGTATCCCTGGGGCCGTAAGATAATTTGGATATCCCACTCTGAGTTGTAACTGCAGAGGGGAAATGGTAGTAGAGAATCACCTTCATCCTTCAGTCTCCAGCTTCCATTTTCACTGATGTCTGAAACTACAGCATTTAGAAGAAGGAGAAAGAACAGTGGTTGAGTTGGGCTGGAATGAGTGGGCTAGTTGGGACTACAGTATGTATCTGAAAGAGCCCAGCAAAACCTACAATCTATCTCTACAATCTAGGAGGAAAATTTAGATCATTTAGCTGGTCATTTATAACCCTTTTATCCCCCCTGCCCACAGTCAGGAAGAATGGAGAGATGCAAAAATATCTCTGCCTTCATTTCTATCATATTGCTCTGTCACCGGTGGGTCATTGATAATCTTGAGCTGCCAATACAGGAGCATTGTGAGAAAAAAAAAATGTAGAATTGTCGTACCTGTTTCCAGCACAAGAAATCATGCATTTGTCCAGCAACTTGATTTCTTTGTTGCTTATTTATCTCCCCCTTTATTCATCCTCTCCTTTTTTTTTTTTTTTAGTAAGAAGGTTGATTTCCTTGTTCATGTGGCCTTATTTTATTGAAGTCTCAGAATGATCCAATGATGCAAGTTAAGTCAAGAAGTAGCAACTGACCTCAAGTCACTTAATGAATTTTATGATCCACTGGAATCTTAAACCTAGGTTTCCCTCTTCTAGGCACAAGACTTCATCTATACTACACACTCAGAGCCATTTAGCAACGGAGAAGAATACATCACAATCCATATGATTATGCATATTAAACCAATGCATAAAAAGAACTTGCTTGGAGAGGACCAAACAAAATACTATAGCAATCATGGGTGTTTCTCTTAGCAAGTTCCTAGGACATAGTTACCCAATGAATTCACTGAAACTAAGCAGCTACCAGTCTAATCACACCTGGATGCCCTGTATCGTGTTCCATGACAGAAGAAAGCTGGGATATAAACTTTCAAAATAAATAATTTGTGTGCCATGGGTGACTTTCTTTGCTGATCCAGTAGTTTTACACTTATCTATAATTTAAAACAAAGCAAGGATTGACAGAATGGCTGATCTAGCAGTTTTCTCCTTCTCCCTGCAAGCCACTGAAAACAAATGTTTTCGTTGACGTGTAGAAAATTACTGGAGGAACCTGGTATTTTACATGGTTCCGTATTGCAGTTTATTCATGTGCATCAGACTGCAGTGGTAGGTCTCCTGCCTTATTTCTTCCATAAAGGTGAATTTTGCTTTTTCCATGAGTACCATTTCAACACAGCCCTGGTATTTTCTTTGTTGTCTCTCCACAGGTGGGCCAAGAAAGGTCACATTATAAAGGAAGCATCAAGCGATGCTTATGAGACCATTGTTGACTACACCTATTTTTTTGAACCTGTCTCCTGTGAGGTAACCAATGCTCTGGGCAGTACCAACATCAGCAGAACAGTCGACGTCTATTGTAAGTATGGCTCAACTGCTGAACTACTACAACATTGCCCAATATATTTAACACCTTGTGTTGGTTATCTGCAGGTCAACGGTTGGTCATGCAGCGGTTGATGGGGGTGCAACTTTTGAATGCTTCTTTAAAAAAACGAGACAGTCACACTCAGAAAAAACAATAATAAAGTCAGAAAATGAGAAACATATACCCCATATAATTGATCCTAATAACAAGACTTTCACTAACAAATCCTCTTTCCTGTGAAAGAGTTAGAATAAACATTTCTTTAGGTAAGGCTCTAGGCCACAACAGCAAGAAGAATTCAGTTCAAACTCTATGCTTTAGCTGTAGGGTTCATTCTGTGTTCTTCCTTTTTCATACTTGCTGTAATGAATACTTTAAATTTTAGAGACTATCCTGTCCTGCATAGAACTTTTCTTCAACAATTTTTTAATTTCAGTTGGGCCACGCATGATGACAGAGCCACAGTCTCTTCTTGTTGATCTTGGATCAGATGCCATATTTAATTGTGCCTGGATTGGAAACCCATCTCTGACCATCGTCTGGATGAAGCGGGGCTCTGGCGTGGTAAGAATGATGGGCATTGCTGTTCAGAGCTGGCCAGATATTTGCAGATAGGTTTCAGAGCTAAGTGATGCCTTACTGGTCTGCCACTTGCATCATCTATTCTTACTCTTACTCCAGAGTTTTTGTGGCAAGGAAAATCTCCAAATCTTATCAAAGAGCTCTCTGATAAGGTTTTTAAAAACTGTAGTGACTAGGCATGTGACTTTTAAGCCATGATGTTCCCAATTTAAATGTTTGCTCAAAACTTCCTAATCTATTTTAGAATCATCACTGACCTAGAAGGACTTAAAAATTAGTAATATGGAAATCTAACACCAGACATGAGCTCATTAGTCTTACCCTCTGGAGCAAGTGAAAAAAATGACTCAATGCTCTGTGTGAAAACTCTTCAACTGTTTAAAGGTTTAGTCACATCACTTTTCTGGTTACACATATCTTACTCTCTTAGCTTTTCCTCATAAGACTTTGGTTCCAAGCTGTGTATCATCTTGATCAGCTTCCTCTGAATGCATTCCAGTCTGTTGATGTCTCTTAGATAGTGGTGGTTAATGCCACGGCTCTGACTCAACCCCTAATGTTTCCCCACCTGCCCATATAGAAGATAAATTTCCTACAGTTCTGGATAGCTATAATGAATATTAATCTAATGTAGTATACCAAAGTGATAAGCAAGAATACACTAAGTGTTAGCAAAATCCAAGTCATCACACAAGTTCACAAATTTGCTCGTAGTATTAATGCTTTGTTCTCAGCCCCACTATTTGTACTTCCAGCTGTAATCTCCATAGAAGCAGGAGGAAGTAGGGACTGGTTTGTGGTTCATAAAGCAAACACATTTATGGCTCTTTGCAATGTAAATTTTACTTACCTTTTGGAGTCTTACATTGCTTCTGATATTTGCTTCCTCCCTCACATGAATGCGGTGAAACATTTTTTGAATCTCTAACCAAACCTAAGAGGTAGCCTTGTCTAAGAAAACAACAGAATGTCTTGCATTCAGCCACCAACCCAAACCAGCTTCCCTGGTGAGGCAGAGGGTTACAGCTCAGATGTGTCTGAAAACCCAATGTAACAAGAATTGGCTTTTATTATTTTGTACTTCTGCTATGGATGTCTACGTGTTTCCTTTAGGGAAGCTTTAAATAGGTAACAGTGCTTCAGTACAGAGCAGATTGAAGTGACATTATCCAAGAGTACACATCATGTTGCAGGAAATGAGTGGCATAGTTAAATCTTTCCACAACTCCATGTCTGGGAAAACTTGTATAACAGGGTTCCTAGCCTAGCCTTCCACCTATGATCCTAATTTTCTGTGGACAGGCAAGTTTTCTTTGCTTGTTTATTTTGATATGTAGAATATTTTTAAAACATCCATCTCCCCTTCTGCAGTCTGAAGGGGGAAAGGAAAGCCCCACAGAGACTAGCATGTTTTGATTCTTTGCTGGTAGCATTCCTCTTACTACAGAAAAGAAAGTTTCACATTCTAGATCTGCAGGGTTGATTTCCAAACTGGAACCCATGGAACTGCAGGAGAAGAGGCCACTCTTAGGATTGGAGTAGAGAAGCTTAAACCTGTGAGCCCATTCCGCTCCACCAGGCTACTCCATTGGCCTGTGGAGGCTTCCCCAACTGATGTCAGCCCTACAAAGTAGACTAGACTAAGAAATGAATGCTATATAGGTCAGGACTGCCTTTATTGTTACAGTTACAGTAATAGAATCTTGCAAGCCTCAATGTGCTTTCCCCTCCCTTACTTTATCTTCATATGAACTAAGGAGGGGCTTGTCTAAGATGTTTTCTCAAGTTATTTTCTTGGCCAGGCCTCAATCCCTGCTTATCTGACCATTGCCTTGGTAGCAGTTCTTCCTCCTGTCTTTCAAGGCCATTCCCTATGCTCTCTACAACACCCTACTTCTCTTCACTGGATATAGGGGTGGGACTGGATGGAAAACAGTGTTGTTGGTTCAAATAGTCCATTTGCCTCCTGCTTTAGTAGGGGTCTTCTTGAGCAATCAAGCCAAGAAAGGGATGGTGTATCATCCCAAGCCAGACCACTAGGCACTGATGCCTAGCCAGAGTCAAATGGGAAGTTCTGTATAGTTAAATTAAGAGAAGCAAAAATGTTTGACTATGCAGAGGTCATAAAGGTTGATTTATGAAACTGGCCTAATAAAAATGGAAAGGACAGGTTTCCATGGTACTCACAGCTCTTTCCACATTTCTGCTTGCAAAGGGGAGCTTCACAAAATAGCCCTAATAGAAACTGAACAGATTCCCATTATGAGCAGCATCTGGGTTAACTAAAGGCCAAGGCCTCGTTTAATCTCTTGGTGGCAGGTGAAGCTTTGTAAACTATCACTACATTGTGCGCTCATTGTGAGAAGTCTGAGTTAAGGCTGGGATTTGCTCTGAAACTGGTTTCCTTAAGATTACACATGCCTTTTTAATTATTTCATAGCTGCAGTATCCAGAAATGTCTTGTGTGCCTTAGTGGTTCTATCTACCTACCTACCTACCTACCTACCTACCTATCTACCTATCTGTCATCTATCATCATCATAAATAGAGCAATTGTATTCTCTCAAAAATATTGGCTTTTGATGGAGTCAGTCCACATGGAAGCAGCTATTTTACACTATAACCAAGCGCTGGAAAAGCATGAATATATTTATCAGCTTTAGTCAATTAGTAGATGGAATCCAGAATTTCACTTTTCTTCTATAAATCAACTGGCACATTAATAGGAGTCCTTCAGAAGGATTCAATTTATGTCCTTTCTGAGCAATAGAACTCTCTTCTGTATGTACAGTGCCCAAAAGGTGGTAGAGGGCAACTGGATCCTTCCCATCAGCAATTTGAAACATATGCTGGCAATGTGCATTAGTGCAATAGGAAGGATTCCCTTGGTCAAGAACTCTGAAAAAGCATGAAGCCCCATAACATTACATGTATTTGGATGCATAGACACATGATACAGATGTGCATATCAGTATGTGGGGCTGGAACCTGCCACCCACCATTCCTACAATACTCACACATATAAGGGACAGCTTTAATGGGGAAGAGGGACTATACTACATTCTGAATATAAGAACCTGTCTTCTGTCTCAGAGCTTTAATCTACCCTGTTCAAATTATCTGCTCTGAGCAGCAGTGGTTCTCAAATGTCTTCCCAGTTCTCTGTTTCCTGATCTTAAGACATCAGATACAGAACTTCCTTGCAACACATGTGCTCTGTGTTTCATTCCCACAAAAATAACATTTCTGGCCATTGTTTTTCCATTTATTTCACACAAAAAGAAAAGGGAAATTAGCGCCCTTTGGGGGTTCCCATCTCTCTGTTTTCTGAGCCACTCCATCCTTTAAAGTCTTTCTTTCATGGCCTTGGACAGATCAGATTAGAAGTTGGTGTTCTCCCGAGTCAGGAGCCATTACTAATTATTTCCCTTGGAAAAGTAGTTCTTTCTTTAGGCTCCCTCTAGCTCAGTGTTTCTCAACCATGGCAGTTTGAAGATGTGTGGACTTCAACTCCCAGAATTCCCCAGCCAGCATGCTGGCTGGGGAATTCTGGGAATTGAAGTCCAGATATTTTCAAGTTGCTAGCTCAGTGTTTCTCAACCATGGCAGTTTGAAGATGTGTGGACTTCAACTCCCAGAATTCCCCAGCCAGCATGCTGGCTGGGGAATTCTGGGAATTGAAGTCCAGATATTTTCAAGTTGCCAAGGTTGAGAAATATTGCTCTAGCTGATAAATGGCTGCATCAAGTCCCCCCTCCCCCCCAGTTGCTGACAAGATTACAGGCTACTTGGCAATGATAAAGATGTTAGCATTGATCCATTTCTGCTATAGCAAGCTTGCTCTCGCTCTCTCTCTCTCTCTCTCTCTCTCTCTCTCTCTGT